TTTTTTTTTTTTCAAAATAATTAAAGGCTCCAATATCCCATCTTCTAGTTGGATTTTGGTGTTAAGATTTCATCGTTCGTGTTAAGAGAGTGCTGATTGTTTTATTTCTATATTCTATATTTTTATATAAGCTTTATTTGTATATTCATAATTATTTTCATACAACATGGAAACTCTAAATGTAGCCCATTTGATCCTCAAATATAGTCAAAAGCCGATATTCATTTAGCGACTATCAATTTATTGTCTTGTATAAAATGAATCCATGCAAAAGTGTAGCTGAGCTTTATTTCCCTCATCATTAAACTCGTCCTTCTGACCTCCTTCCTTTGATGACGCGTCTGTGAGTTTACAGTAGGCCTAATATGGTTATTATTGCTCTGCTGACGCTGAAATTTAGCCAATTAGAAAAAGGCGATATGATCGATCTGTCCTCCATTTCTCATAAATAACAGTAAAATATGAAAGGACTTTTTTTTGGCATTTTAGATTTTTTTTATATCTCACAAATGATCCACCAACCGCATATTCTTATTCATCCCATTGTCGGTTTAGTTGAAAAAAATGTATATATATATTTTTTTTCTTTAGATTTTTTTATTTTTATTATTTTGTACCGATGGTGGTCCTGCCTTTTTATGGTTTATTTTTGTTAGATAAATAAATAATGAGGCTGAATCGTAGCTTCATTATGGAAATCATGTAATGTTGACGTCACTGGATGGCGCATTTGCATTGTTCCAATATAAGGAGCTTTCAAGGGAAACTGCTTGAACATTGGTGAGATGACGTAGCAAATACTTCTATAACGAAAAACGAAATAAACAAAAAAGGAAACAACACATATGGAGACAAACCACAGAAAACAAGATGCGTTAAAGTATTCTTTCGTTCCAGGTGCTTTTCTCTTAATTCTCTCTGCGCTAAAATGAAATAAGAGACCTTCTGCTTGAACATTTGTGGAAAAAAATAGTAATTAAGTGTTAATAAAGACAAAACACAACGTACAAAGGTGTCAGTGTCGATCCCCTTTATTTCATGTCGTCTCAGGTATATCGGATTTGTGGCCTTAATGTTAAACTGTCATTTATTAGGATAGGCCTTTCAGTTTTCTGAGCTCACATTCTGTTGTTATACAAATATTTCTATTTTCCCAGAGAAAAGTAATACAGAACAACATAGATTCATTTTTATCTATTCATTATTGTATCCGAACTGTCTTCAGTTTCTATTGGTCACATTGCTGCGCAGTAATTATTTTAAAATCGCATTTTTTAACTCCATGAGTGCTAATCATTTTAAGTCAACATAAATAATTGATGTGGTCCAGCAAATAATGAAATAAATAAATAAATAAAAAATAGCAGGTGGCCTAAATGTGTTTTTAATCTGATATGGAAAAAACAGCTAATTCCGTATCAATTTGAATAATCTAAACATGGAAAATGTGTTTTAATTAGAAAAAATAAAAATATTAATCCAAAGATTTTATGGGATTGTTAGATGAAAATGCGATCGGCAATAGGCCTCACCTTCAATTGTTATCACAATATCTTTAGCATTTAAAGAAGAACGTATGGCATCTAAACGGACAGGTTATTATTTGACGTGAGCAGATTTTCACTTGAATTTATGTTAACTTTTTGCGATGTCAGCTGAGAAATATTTAAATGAATGAAATCGCCACTCATGGAGAAAATGAATAAGTGAATCTATCAAACCGATCACATGAGCAATAAACAAAAATAAACACCGAGAATAGTTTAAGAATAATTTCATAAATAACAACGTATTTTTAAAACAAAAAAGTCTAAGTGGATAAAAGAGCCATATAATTTATTTGCCCAGCCCACCACTCATTTCCTGCAGTTTTGCCGCATTTGCAGAGAAAAGGTCAACATTTCTAAACTGAAAATATTTAACGGACTATAACTAGAACGTATTTTGCATGCATGCATGAAAACAATGTCTTCAATCCACAATCCGGATTTTATTTTTAAGCTCTAAATGTCTTGGAAACTGGTGACCTCTATTTCTCCCCGCTGTGTGCATTCTCCAAATTGACCACTAGATGTCATCATTTAACCACGTTGTTGACATCCGAGCGATCTGCCGTCATCCTCATCCTCTGCAGCCGCAGCGTTTTCACAAAACCTCTTAAAGATTTTTTTTTCTTTTCTTTTTTTATGCATCTTCAAATATAAAAGCAAGACATGCGTCTTAGAGGCGAACCTCTGAGCAAAATATAGGCAGGGATTAAGAAGAGACAACTGAAGAAGTGTTAAAAACCTAAACTCCATTCTGCTCTGAATAATAATAATAATAATAATAATAATAATAATAATAATAATAATAATAATAATAATAATAATAATAATAATAATAATAATAATAATCTTATATTCTGGGCTGTTATCCTAAAGTTGTCTGTATATGTGTGGCAGGGTCTGCAAGTGCGTCTAAATGCGCCGCAACACAAGCTTAGATATTCTATTAAATTAGAGGTTGCTGCCTAAGACTGTTTGACTAGACAGTTTTAACAAAATACAAATTTTTGAGCCACAAACTCTTCTTGGTTACATACAGCCCTAACGGCTAATGAATTGTTAAAAGAAATAAAACATGTAAAATATCCGCACGAACTGTTGTTTTAAGGGACTCTAGACGTTCTCAACGCATCTGTTTATTTTTATTAATTGGAAAAAAGTGTCTATCCGTCCAAGGAGTGCATTGTTTTTTCTTTATGCAATGAAACCCCCTTATGTTTTCAGAAACTGTTAATCTTGGTTGGAGCAATAGGTTGTGTAACTCCTTTATGTTGGAGTGACAGCTCCCACTGCAGAGTTTGGAGGTACAAGACAATAAGGAAAAGAAACGTGTTTGTTTATTTTTAACCATAATTTGGTTGCTTTTGTTTAATGAAGCTTGGTAATGACGACTTACTGTATAAGACGTAAAAAAAAAAAAAAAGAAAGAAAAAAAAAAGAAAAGAAAAAAAGTTTGAGCATTATTTGACATTTGACATTTTTTTTAATCTTTCAAATGCAGGATATATGATTTACTTAAATGTGGCTTTTGAGTCACCTGCTCCCATCATTTTCAACTACAAGAAACAAACGTCTTTTTTTTCCACGCACAGGTGGAGTTAGACATCCCAGTGGCTCTGATTGTGTTTACGTGAGCCAGTCTGTCTGGCCACTGCCAGCAGTTGGAGAACAAGGTTCAGTGACGAAGGGGAGTAGCCTATAGGACACTGCATCTGCTTTTGGCTACAGGAGGGAAAGTTTTCACTCCATCAAGCAAAAAGCGGCCTATATATCAAGTTGATCTATGGTGCAGAGCTGTAGGAGCATCGGATGTGTGTTAACTGGAGGTAAGACGCAGCATTTGTAAATCTGGATCATTTTGGAAAACTGCAGAATTGGACAAAGTTTGGATAGAGAACCAAAAATAAATCATTAGCGAGATAGAGCAAAAAGAAAAGTAGGCTATGGAAAAAAAGTTACATTAAACGTTATATTGCTCACACATTTCCTATTTTAGATATTTTCCCACAATACTGTACCAGGCTTGCACTTGCGCGCTCTCCCTTGCATCCTTGCGCGCGTGCATGTGCAACGCTTAGAGTCGAAGCAATTGGATCGTAAATGTCAACGCTGCGTCACTGGTGTTTTTTTTTTTTTTTTTTTTAAGTCCGACCACGAGACTTTGTAGGTTATTAGTTTTTCACAGAGTGTGATGTTTTCCGCGTTTGTCTGAAAAAAAAGAAGCGCAGTCCTATTGTTTATGCAGCCACCAGGGAGCTCTTTGTTCATGCATGCTGGATATGGATCGCCAATTTCAACTGAGACGCTTTTAAATTGGTGGACCACACACCAGCAATTTTACCATATTTACAAAGATAACTCAAATTAATCAAATAAAATTAAGTGCAATTACGATATGTAATACGGAATAGCCCAATTCATGCAAAATAGGTTCGTAATATGTATGCTATGCAAATCTAAGCACTGAATATGCATCAATATGAAAAACAATACGCACACCAGAGCCAACGGCGTCCAGGAATTTTTAAAGAATAGTCGCATTACGCATGGGCGTTTTTTTCCACGCAGCAGCAGCAGCTCTCCTGGTCTCCTAGTTCCACTTCTTCTCTTCTTTTAATGCCTTCTCCTTTCCGTCCCGTTTGCTGTATATGGTTTCTTGTTGGAACAAAAGAAATGCAACGATCACTCTTTCAAAATCGGCAATCATCACAAAACACACACACTGTAGTGGGTGTGCAAATTATCCTCCGACTGCAGCCAGGCTAGACTAGCTATGTGGTAAGGAGGGGGATTTGCATATTTTGATGGGCTAATTGCCTTGATGTATTTAAATATGGCTGCACGCAGCTGATATGTTCGTCTACGTCACCGAACGTGCCCCCGCTGTTTAACTAAAACGTGAATCCGGGCGGCGGACGTTAATAGATACGCCTGCAATTAGGCCAAAAAAGAGAGGGAGGAGGAAAAATTAGAGTGTATTTGTTTTTGGTTCGGCTATACCACCACTACTATTACTATATTCAATATTATTATTGTTGTTGTTATAATTTAAACGACTATTTTCTAAGATAAAAATATGCAAAAAAAAAAGCTATACATATTTGTGTGTTAAAGCCTAAAGTTTTTGGTAAGTATATAGTGCAACTGAAAAGTTTAAAAAGGAAATCAAGGAGGGGGGTAAACTATTTTACTTTACACTTCTTAAATGAAAACTGCCTCTAAAATGTCTAGTTTTTCTAAAGCTGTGGGTCTGTGTGTGGGTGCGTGTCCGATTTCAGGGCTCTCTGGTCATGCTCATTTTAAATGCACTTGCTTTACTGTGACTATTGGCTCTGTTAAGTCAAGGTGTGTCTTTCACGGTTCTTTCGCTCTTTTTTTCTAGTTTTGACTTTAGTCACAGACTTAGTTTTTGGAGAATTGCACGTTGCAAAATGACGGCCCTCATCAGTTTGACAGCAAAACCCCGCAGTAAATGCGCTCCCTTTATCAAACCTTGTGCGCCCGCAGCAAATTACAACTCCAACTGCGCGGCTCACTTCGTAACCTGGTCGGGAGGTGGTGTAGGTGGGGTTGGGTGGGGGTGGTGGGGGACGGACAATGCTTCCTCAGTTCCTACGTGCAACAAAAGAACCGAGGGAACTTGTTTTTGGTTTCAGAGCACGTCCTCTGCTCACACAGAAGGATGGACTTTACACCCACCCCTCCGCCTCATCATCACCTTCATCATCATCGCCACTACCCCCCCTCGCCCCCCGAATCCCCATCATCAACATGAAAAAAAAAAGAAGAAAAAAAACTTGCACACTCTATGAGAGCTCATCTGTGTATGCACTTTTCTGTTTGCTGCTTTATGGGAAAGTTGTGTCTCTCTCTCTTTTTCTCTCTCCTCTTTTTTTTTCTCCCTGCCCATCTTTGCGTCTAACATGTGCCTTGGATGTGCTCATGCTTTTGGCACAGAACGGCCGCAGCGCGCCGCCTTATGCGGGTGAATGGCAGTAGCAGTTTTTTAAAGTCTTACCCCCTTAAACGATCAACAAACCCGACATCCTATCCACCAACCCAGCAAATTATACGTCTGGGATTTTGAGTGCCCCCCACCTTTCCCTCCGCAAGAGGGACATTTACCTTTATACCATACGATTCACATGGACATCTCTGTTCCTCTGCTTCTGGCACCTTGGACACTTTCTGCTGCCCTCGCAGTCATCTGGTTGGACGGTGAGGAAGTAAGTGCAACTTTTAGTGGCTAGTTCGGAGCGATGTGCGGTGCGCAAAAAGTTAAAACGCACAATATTAATGCAAAAGTGGATCATATTGTTTTTCTTGTTGTTATTTTATTGGGACCTATAGCAGGAAAGTAATTCGGGAGTATAGAATGTGTTGACCAATGTTTTCTTCATAGTTCGGAAATAGCACATTAGACTAGGAAGAGTCTATGAATCCAACCATGTTTATTACAACGGGATATAACTGTCGCACGAGACTTCAGTGCGTTTAGTGCGTAATAAAGTTTGGATAACGCCTATCGTGTAGAACTACATTAAACTGAGATATTTGTATTTATTTTTTCTCGCAACAGTTAGATAACATTGTCATTTTACATAAAAGATGCACCGTTAAGAATGCATATTAGGAGAAATCTGAACAATAAGTTCATACACTGAAACTGAGGAGCGATATAGATGCAGAAGGGGAGCGATTTCGCACTTAACTTCTATTTCTATTTTTAATGAAACGCGCTCCATTGCCGCGCTGAAACAATAAAAGCCACGCACCACACAGCATGAATGTAACGTCACCAAAACTGTCATGCGGTCTCTTTTAAACAACGCCCTCTCACACTATCACTGCATTTTGTTATTAAACTCTATTCAAAACTATTTGAATCTGAACAATTCAAAAGATGTGCTATATTTCTTATTGGGGTCTTTCTATGTCAATCTTAGACGGATAGGGGTTTATAGGAATCAGCAGCTTGTGCGTAAAATCGACCGTGCTCTAATTAAATCACGGCCTGTGAGTTCGGAGGCCCGACCTAAAGCCTCCTGCATCCTAATCAGGTGATCATAGTGAAGTTAGTCAGGTTTATTCAAAACTGGCTTACACACCTTGCCATTCATCAGGGGGTTCAGATTGTTTGTGCTGGGTATGAAGCAGAAAGAAACAAGGAGATCAGGAAAGCAAATCATTGGTTACGCGTTTTTATTTGATGGGAAATGTTGATTTAAGCAGTTTTTTTTTTATTTTATCACAGTTAAAGTATTGGGAAAAGGTCGATGCAACTTTTTTGGCTGGAAAGGTGCGCAAAGCAATCAGATAAAAACACCAAGGCAGGATATATTAGAATAAAAACTTGAGGGGGAGGTTCAATAAATCGGAACTTTATATTGTGTACATCCAGGTAAAGACGCACTGATTCAATCAATGGTACTTTTTTTTATCTTTCTGGCGCGTAACATGGTGAGGTTTTTTCTTTTTTATGCTGTTCCTTTTTTTTTTTTTTTTTTTTTTTTTTTTTTTTTTTTTTTTTTTTTTTTGGGGGGGGGGGGGTCATTTCAACGTCCTAACAGAATCAGAAGTTGTATACCAGCCTGCACCTTATAGGGGTAATGTCCACAACCATGCTCTTCCTGTGCATGATCCATCTCGCTTCCCGCTACATTGAAGGTTAACTTACTTACAAAGATCTTCCATTTCAGCTTTCAACTACTTACATTTTCTCCGAGGAAAAGTGAGGGGGGCTTACTGTCCGAGGGGAAGGGTGGTAGTGACCGGGAGGGGGGGGTAGGGGGGCTTCATTCTGTGCGAGGCGAGCTAGAATACATATATGGTCTATCTACCTTCTTCATCGGATGCAACGATCGTAAAAAAAAAAGACGCTCTAAAGGATTTTCGACGCACAAATCGACCAAGTGAGAGCGATGTAACTCCGACAGTCGCATCTCATGTGAGCAGCATTAAGCAGACGGAGATCGTGCTACTGAGGATGTTTAACCTGCACTGTGCTGAGGAGGCGCTCCGCGATGCTTCGACGCTGATTTATTTCGAGGTTCATCCTTTTTTTTCTGCTATCATCTTCTTCTGCATCCCGATCTGTTCATTATATATATATAAAAAAACAAAAACATGCTTTTTCCTTTGCTATCCGTTTTTTTTTTTTTTAAAGCCCTGTGAGTGTGAGAGAGAATGAGCGGCAGCGCTGCTCGCTGCACGCGCGGCGATCTGCTTAAATGGATGAGGAGATCACGCATCTGGAAAAAAAAAAGGAGGGCGGATTTGCGAATTTGTTCGTGACATCACCGCAATTCCGCTTCCCCGGTCCGAAAGGCCTTTGACCTCATCCGGGTTGGTCCATATTTTGGCAACCCCTTTACCCCCCGATTTCTTTAAGTAGAGGGGATTTTGCCCCCACTAATCCAACGCACACCACTTTCTTCCGATCCAGCCTTCAGAATGGACCCTCATTGCAAGTTTTCGCTCCCTAAACACGCTGGATCCGAGCGGATAACTTCTCACTCTTTGGCCGAAGAAAGAACCAAGCATAATCTCGCCATCCGAAACATTTTGGCGTCCTCGTTCCCTGCTGCCTGCTTATTGCGCTTTCCTCTGGAAACGCTGGATTTTTCTTCTCCGCTCAGCCTCACAGGATCGTCTGTTGCTGCTGCCACAACGACTTAATAGAGCCAAAAGAGCCTTTGTGGGATTGAGGCAATTTGCATTGCAAATTAAGGCCCCGTTTGCAAGGATGACTGCACCTTAGCGCCGATTTCCAAGGCCTTCTTCAAGCCGGTAATACTGGTTAATGTCAAGTGAAAATGACGTTAACATTGGGGATATATAATGCTCTTATTCTTGAAGAACTGTCACCTTTACCTCTGAGTGTTTAACAGTTCTGGTTGCCCCATCTGCTGTCACAGAACAAGGGAATATAAGAGATACAATATGACTGTATTTTTGGCCAAGAATATGAAAGTTCTAAGAATTGAAAACTTTGGAGCCCAGGAGGTGAAACATGGATTTTGGATTACAGTAGAAGACAGTGGGGTCGGTTGTTATCTTTGGTTATCTAGCTGTATGAGTGTTCTGCTCGTCATAAAGCTAGATAACCGAAAGTAAAAACTACTTCCAGACTCGTCAAGGACTCTTTGGATGGACACACACACTGTGATTTCCATATGGATCAAAGACTGCAAATTCCTCTTATGTAAACAGGATCCGACTGTATTTGTTTCTGTTCTGTTATTTATCCTGTATTTTCTTCCAGTGTGTGAATATCTTTGCATTTTGCCTGATTGTGCCACGAACATTCAGTTTTGATTTAAAATGCTCATACAAACACACCACGACACACACATCACCACTCACTCACAGACACAGGTTCCTCTCAGGTCACATATTGGATGTTAATATTTATGGTCCTCTTGATTTTTATAATATTGCATGATTTATGTTATTCAATATGCATGAGGTTTCTGCACAGGCCCACTGGGTGAATGGAAGAGTCACATTCTGGGGGATATTGTAGAAATCCATGCACGCCCTAATTTTAGCATGCTGGGGTCCAGCCTGAGAACATCACCAGGATTCCAAACAGAAGTGATGATTAGGATGTATACTAAGCTGACAAAAAAATGGAGAGAAAGAGAGAAGGAGGTAGGGACAGGGTTAGGGGAAGGAGGGAGGTGGGAAAGGAGGGGTGTGTGAGGGGGGATTGAGAAGGGGCTGATGTGTGTGTGCGTTTGGGTGGGTTGTGGAGGGGCGGGTGTTGGGTCGGGTCTGCTTAATTGATTCCGTTAACTGCAGTGCAGGAGATGTGAACGACTGGACGATCCCATTCCCACGCTCGGTGGGGCAAGTGGCAATGCAGTGCCCGGGCCCACTATGACAGACAGCGCCGTGAGGGCCTAGAGCGGCTTGGTGTGTGGAGTATGGGTGGGGGGTGGTATGGTGGATGTGGATAGAAGAGGGGGAGCGACAGGGGTCATGAAAAGACGTCAAGTGCACCAGACTCATCTGCATCCCCAAAGAAAGGGGCGAGGTTTCCCAGCCCCAAGCCGACGCGGCGCTCCCAAACTTGAGAGCTGTAACGGTCTTGTTCACGTTCCCGTTTTGCCAGTTGGGCTGATAATGAGGATTCTGGGTCATTAGATTACAAAAACTATGCAGGTTTATGAATGGGAAAGAGACATGGCGCAACGTTTTAATCCAGCCAGGGCCCCACTTTATAATCAAAGCAGAGCTTGATGTATGCATGAAATTTGAACAAACACCATCTTACATCACTTTTCCTATGTGGAATTCAGCATAAACTGGGTCGTTATTAATGATAAAGCTAATAAGAGCCTTAATAGCATTAGATGTCAAAGATAAAGCAGGGGTGGGATGTGCCTAAAATGGGCTACATATTTGGTCATGGGTTTCTTAAACTGCTTTAGCCTTATTGATCAAAGGGAGCATAGCTTATGCTACAAATAAAGTGTCTGATAGGAGTTTTAGATTGGGGATTTTCCAAAAGGATGCTATGTGGGAAGTTTATACTATAGGTTACATATACATAGTTTAATTTCCCATTAAACCCTGAAAGGGTGAGGTAATAGTATCAAGGTGTTTAAAAATGTGTTGTTTTTTTAGGATGAATGTGCTAAGATTTTGTCACATGGCAGTAGTAGAAATTTAAAATGTGTGATGTGATGTCAGAGAATGTATCGAAACAGTAAAACTTTAGCTTTTTTGGAGTTAAGACAGGGCCGAACATTAACAAGAGCTTACCAGAGGGCAATTTTTGGGGTCCCCAATAAAAATTATATATTTATTTATTTATTTATTTTTTTTTTGTTTTAAGATTTTTATGTCGTTAATAAACAATTTCAATAGAACAATATCATATTACCTCTAACCTAACCCTCCACCCTAAACATAGTAGCCTTTATTCCGGACCTCCTTTGCTTTTTTGAGTAGCTGTCATTCCATAGATGACTGTCTAGCCTAAAAACATTAGAATTAATCCTTACAAAATTTACCTAAGAAAAATGCAAGTAGCTATGAGCAGAAGATAACACAGTGTGCCCCTCCCCGATTAGTGCTGGTTAATCAGATACTACTACTGTGAAATATATCTAAACAGACTTTTTATTTATTTATGTAATTAATATTTATGCTATTTTAGGAACTATATGATTTTTTTCTCTCTTTGAAATAAAATAAATTAGATAATGCTCCATTTAAT